GGGAATCCAAGAGGCTGTTATACAGAGTTTTAGCTCTGGTTTTTGTATTTGTGGCAGGGAGGGATGCCATGCACAACAAAACCATTTTTATTCAGGAAATTTAATTCAATTTAGCTTATTACCAGTGAAGATGAAGACAAACAATTAAATAAACACAGAAAACACACTGCAAGCCACAATTCCCTCACTGTTATACCTGCTGCGGTGTCTGCTGTTTGCTCCTGGCTGGGCAACTCTTTGCTCCAGCCCCTGCTCAGATGTCATCTACTGTATCTACTTTTTTCTACAGCACCCATCCTGGTCTGTTCTTGTGCCTGCACAGGGCAGTCCCTGACCTTGTCCCACATAGTGCAGCACCCTCCCTACCAAAACCCTGTCAGTTTAGCCCAATATACAGAGGGAAGGAGAGGATGAGTATAATTTTTAAACTTATTTTTAGCATAATTAACACATCATAAGGAAGGGCAAGTAGGACGTCAAGTAGTGTTGTAGACATTCATACCTTCCTTTCAGAGGCTTTATTGTTTTTACAGTAAATAAGACAACAGAATCACAGCCTTGAGAAGTTGTAGATATTATGGCAATTAGAATAACTTTGGGGTCATGGTAAACAACAGTGTGGGGAAAGAAATAAGAGGAAGGAGGTCTTCAGCACTAGTTGTTAGCATAATCTGGAAGTACCAGGCATGTTGAAGAATAGATACTTTTTCTTTAAAAAGGAAATATTAATTATGTATTAGCATGGAAAGTTCATTATAACCTCCTGTACTAACTTAAGCTTCTTTTCTGAAAGCTTTAATTAGTATAAGATATGCAAAAATGAAACCTTAGGTTCTTAGATTCAGTAGTCTGCATTTTTTTGAAAACGATGTGTTAAGATGTCAAAATGAGAAGAGTAGTTGAAAACAGTGTTCATTCAACTCTTAGGGCACAGGCTTTTTTCCTATGCCTAGCCTAGGTCTAATCACATATCAATGAATGGATTTCTGTATCAGTTATGAAAAAAACTGGTGTGACTCTACCCGCTTAAGTGGTACTTCTCATGTTTTCTTAGTCCTCACATTGCCACTCAAGTCCACTTAGCACTTACTTCTTTTTAGTCTGTGTTTGACCATTGTAATGTTGCAGTCTAAGCCAATTAAGAACAGCAGCATATTAGCCTTAATGTTTCTGCCGTGCCTGAGCAGACATTTCTAATAGTTAAACTGTGTTACTATGGCATTCTTGTTAGTTTATTTACTTTTTGTTCAGCATCAGGATATTTCTGGAAAAATGAAGTGACTTCTTGTCATGTGTGTGATGAGTTCTTGTCTTAGTTCCTATTACTGTCTTTAATGACTTCTAAATACTTCCTGTTAATGAAAGAACAAGAGAAAGCTGTAAGAGGAAGAGGTGAGAGGGGAGAGTGTGGAACTGATGGGAGTTTCTTACAAGATTGTTTTTTCTTACTTAAAGCTGTTCTCTTCTTCCTATCTCAACTCTATATAGGCAAAAGTAGATTTTTAAATTTTTATATATAAAATACATGTTATAAAATAGAATATATTTATATATATATTAATTGTCTGAGCACATATCAAGGGAAAAATAAAACTATTCTCCTATTTAACTACTGCTAATACTCCTATATCTAATATTATTTCAACAGAATTAATTTAAACTTCGAGACTGGGAGGGCATCATGTCCTCTGTGAATAATGGAAGAACAAAAGCTTTGAGTAAAGATTGATTAGCTGAAGTTACAAATCTTATGTATGGTTTATATATTATCTTTTGTTTGTTTCTGAATGTTTTAGAATCAGAGAATGGCTTGGGTTGGAAGGGACTTTAAAGATCACCGCATTCCAGCCCCCCTGCTGTGGACAGGGTTGCCAACCACTAGATGATGGGCCTGCCCAGGGCCCCATCCAGCCTGGCCTTGGATGCCCCGCATTCCAGCCCCCCTGCTGTGGACAGGGTTGCCAACCACTAGATGATGGGCCTGCCCAGGGCCCCATCCAGCCTGGCCTTGGATGCCTCCAGGGATGGGGCCTCCACAACTTCTCTGGGGATCCTGTTCCAGTGCCTCACCACCCTCTCTGGGTGAAAAATTTCCTCCTAATAGCTCACCTAAATCTCCCTTTCTTTAGTTTTAGCAAATCTAAAATTTAAGTAGCTATATAGTATGTTGCTACAGAAAAGTGCAGATGACCTAATTGTACAGCAGCGTTGAAGGACTTCAGTGGCACATCAGTGACTGATTCTATAACGCATTTAGTTCTGTAGACATAAGGTGCACAATTTCCATTTGTTTGGAGAAATAATCATTATAAATGTTCATCATCAAATGTCAGATGTTGGTCTAATTCTAGAGGCATCTGAAGTTTAGCATCTTTGTCAGGAAAAAATCCTAATTACCCCAGTAATCTGGCAAAATCATGATTTATCCAGGTAGTTTAACAAAGGGAGCTATGCTTTTTCCACAGAGTGTAGACAGCTTGTCATTCAGAAAAGCTTTTGGTTAAAACATGGAAAGAAAAGACTGTAGCTCTAGCTTTTTCAGAAGCAATTAAAAAAGTGTAAGTAAGCTTCATTTATGCTGTTCCATACCTAACTGTAATGTCTATGCCAGATGCACACGCGTGCCCTGCAAAGTGCTCTGGTTTGTCTTTGAGCAACAGTGCT